CGAAAAACTTCATTAATAAATTTTTATATGATACTACACATAGTTTTGATTTACATAGTGCATCGACCACCCCAACTATTCATCACATATCCAGTTTAATGCCAAGTTTTTTTGAAGATATTCTTTTATATAATCTTCTAATAGTAACATTAAAATAAACTTATTATACATTTTGCTAATTCAAGTGCTTCACTTTTGCTTCAACTTTGCTCTATAATTTTAAATACAATAGAAATTGCTTATTTATTATTATATATAGATTCTAATTAAAATTATATTGTTAAATACATTGAGATTCTTTATTATTAGGCAAATTAATATAATGAAAAGAATATAGATATTCTAATTGAATATATGGTATATTTTTTTGAATAGTCTTAACAGCAATATGAATTATAAATTGATTTTCTTTATTTGAAAGTCTAATTGCTATTGGTGAACTATAACCAGTTTGATCCTCAACTGTAAATAAGAACTAGAATTGGTGCACAGTCATTATTTAACTTATATTTTCTATCTATACTAATACAAAATGAACCACAATCTCAAGCCTGCTATAATCATATTTTATCACGTAAAATAAGCTGATAATAATGCTTATGATTATTTTCTTGTATTTCAGGATCAGATTGCTGATAATATAAAACAACCTTCTTATTTTTTAACTCATTAGTTACAAGTCAATGAAGTTGAGTCTATGGACCAATATCATCTCTAAGGTAACAATATCACATTCTAATAAATGCCAAATTTTGTTTTATTATATGTTAATTTTTTGTTATCTAATATTTCTTTTAATTCATTTTTAAATGTATTATTAATAGGGACAAGCAAGTTATGCATAATTTGCATCACTATTATATTACTTTCATATCATTCATGAATAGCAATATCATGTGCTTCATAGTTTAAATTAATTCAATTTATAGTTAAATGTATAGAATTGAAATACTAAATATGTGAGAGTCTGAGAGAATAACTTGTATTAAAAATTCTGCTTTAACTTGTGATAATATAACCTTTGTAATTACATGAACTGGGCATTTATGCATATTGAATTCATTAAAACATTGTTTTAAGTTTAAAATTTGAACAAACCTCTTTATATTCTTCTAATCTACTATATTCTCTTTGATAGTTACTATTATTAGCACAAAGAGAGTCCAATACTATATGCAAATATCACATGTATTTTCATTTTAAATATTAACAATACGTTCATTTCCTTTCTCAATCAATTCAAAAATATCATCTAAACAGTTTTTTGATTTTGAGTATTCATCTTTAGTCATCCATCCAATATAATCTATTGCTTCTTCTACTCTATGCACTGCTATTAATCCTTCTTTTAAAGCTTGACTAACATTTTTATAGCTTTGCTTTTTCAAACGTGCCTTTTTTAAATGATCAAATTCATTAAAATATTTTTCAACATCATGTCCAAAAGGCACAAAAATATTGTTATCTTCTTTTAAAAAAAGTTAGGATGATATAATAAAGGTGAAAGGAATAATACTTTAATAGCAATAGTTTCTAGATATATTAATACAGGTCAAAATTTTTTAAAATGATAAGATGATTAATAGACGATATGTAAAAAACAAACATTATACAATCAGCTAGAAGATTGCTTAATAGCTAATTAAATCGTACAAATATCAGCATTTTATTATAAGAAGATTTCTTGATGATAAATTAAATTTTAAAAAATAAACCAAAAATAAAGCCAATATAATAAAGCTTAATATAATTAATAAAAATTCGACTATGATGTAAACCGATATGCTAATGATTACATATATTATTAGAAAATAGTATAATGAGTAATAAATTTTTAGTCATAAATCAAATTATGCTGATAAACTATTTATTTCTAATAATATAAACATGATTTTATATATATTTCGAAGATAATCATTCGATCTTATCAGTTATTGTTATTAATCTAAAATATAGGCTGATATTTTATGATAGATGCAGATATAATAATGATTTAATATATTTAAAGAAAATATTATACTGATTCTATAGATTTTTTTTTTAAACTTAATTTAAGCCGATATTTTGATGATTAGTTTAGTTTTCTATTTTCATAGTCAGATTTTTTATTCTATATATAATTTCTTTGAAGATAT